CCCCGTTTTACCTCCGCAGGCTTGGATACCTGTTTTTCCCACTTTATAATTACCTTGTTACCTTTATAAATATTCTTTAAAAGATTAATGACTACATCTTCTACGCCTAGTGTGTCCAGTATTCCCCACAATTCCTCTTGAACCATGCTATCGTACGCTTCCTTGATATCTAAAAATGCTAGCCACACGGGCCTGTGTTACTTTTCTGCTATTTGATGCACTGCGTCAGTGAGAACAGATTGTCTTCCAACCTCCTGTGTTTCCGAAACCCATTCTGCAGTTCCCCCAGCACCCCTTCATCCTCTACCCATGCTTGCAGTCTTTCCTTTATAATCTGCATCGCCAGCCTGTAGACCACTGATGTCACTGTTATAGGACGGTAGTTGTTTATGTCAGCTTTGTCTCTCTTTCCTTTATAGATCATGCTCATCCTGCTAAGTTTCCATCCATCGCAAACTTCTCCATCGATTATTATTTGGCTCACTGCCTCTCTTAAAGCCTGCTTAGACTTTGGACCTAATGTCTTTTTCAGCATAATTGGAATGCCATCTGGGCCTGCTGATGTACTACTAGGAACCCTTTCCTCGGCCCTTTCAACTCTTGTTGTGAAAATAGAGTCATTGCGCCACTTGATTTATCCTTGTCTATTGTGGTGCGTAAAGCACTTCTTTGTTGAAAATTTTCCGTCACCTTTGTTCTTATATATTCAATAGCTTCGTCCCCTTCTAGCCTAGCAGCTTCAGCTGTAGTTATAAACCTCTGCTCTAGGCTTGTTTCATTTCTTAGGGAGTTTAGATGGTTCCAAAACTTCGCAGCTGCCTTTCTGTCCTTTTTATGTACTTCTGCCAGCCACTGAGCTCCCTTTCTTGTAATCTTTTCATTGATCAGAAGGGATGCATCCCTTCTACAGCTTAAAGATTTCCCATTTTCTTTCAACATCATCCGTCGGTTCACCCCGCTGCTTAGCATGTCTGTGTTCCCTAGAGGCTTCCTGACGTTTTGCTATGGCTCTCTTAACTTCCTCATCTCACCAACGTTTGGATTTGTGTCTTCTTTTCCAGGGTGACTTGTCACGTGCCTTAGCAAGCTCTAGCTCAAACAGTCTAATTATATTTGTGTATGTCCACACTGTTTTATTATCCTCAGTGATTACTTTTCCAATTTGTTTAGTGGCTATTTCAATTTGCCTTTCTGAATAAAAATTTTCCTGTAGTTGCTCATCTTGTCTCCTTCCCACTTTCACTGCTCTTCTAAAACTTAGCTTGATACGTTTGTGATCACTACCCAGACTTCTAGAGCCACCTTCATCTATGTACATTCCCATGAGCTTATCATACATCCTATGTGACATCAGCGCGTAATCTATCGTCGACTGCAGCCTTCCTACCTCCCATGTTATTTGCCCTTCACACTTCTCGGTACTGTTGCAAATGATCAAATCAAGCCTTTCACACATATCCATGATCATTTTGCCTGTCGGGTCGGTATACCCATCTATATTTTCTATGTGCGCATTCATATCTCCTAGTATAATTATCTCGCACTTTCCTCCTGACTCCTGAATGTCATTTGATGTACACTCTACCATTGCCTGGTTTTCCTCTCTAGCCTTTGCTCCCTGGCCTTGCAACTCTGAACAGGCAGCGTCATCTCTGGCAGAAAAATGGTAACTGGGAATATAGGTCGTGTTCTACCTTTTCTCCGCCACGCTCGCTTCTGTGCACGTGCAGAGCTCTCACCCTGTCCTTGAAGTGCGTCGGGATGTACCGCTTGGCAAATATCTCACAGTGGGACAGGCACTTTGAAAAACAAACGTAAGCAAATGAAAAAAATTACGATGTGGAGCAGACGACAGACGACAACGACGTTGACTTAACGTGAAGTACAATTCCGACGTACGCGAGATTCCTTTTCTCATAAGTTAAATATACCAAAGTGTCGATATCCACGGTGCAATGAAGCCACGCACTCGATCGATGTTCCACATTGTCAGCAACGGAAACTTCATGATTTTTTTTTTGCTTTATCTGCATGTTGGCAGTAGCAGACGCCACTAACGTTAACAAACTTTCGTGGCATGCGATAAAGAAAGTAAAATTAGATGGTTGTAGTACTAAAGAACCTGATAAGGTTAGACTTATGTGCTTCGCACCACTAGAGCATCGCCCGCTGATCTTGTCGCGAGCCTTCTATGGTTTAGCTTTAACCACTGTGAACCAAGTTAAACTGCTCGCCGCGTTTCTTCATTGCTCTTTTTCTCTTTTTTTTTTGTTCTCGCGTCATGCTTGCACCCTCACTCTGAGAAAATATCAACTGCGCATTTGCATAAAACCTGCTGCGAGAACGCGGCTCAGCGTTCCAAATTTCAGGCACGGGGTGGTATCTGGCGCAGTCGCCACACACGTAAACGCACACTCGAAGCACTACGGAGCGTACGTAACCTGCACACACTTGGCGCACGTGAAAAAAAACCGCACACTTCCGAAGGTGCCAATCATAATTTGTGTATTAAGCTGCAGTTATATTGAGCGAGTCAAAAAGATACCGCCCTGATAAACCAACGAAAAGAGCAAAACAGGAAAACTATGTCAGAATTTGCTGAAAATACATGGACGTTCATTCCGGCAAGATGATGCAGCCTTCCCGATGCGTGAACTGCAGACGGCGAACCTTTCACAGTGTGAGGAGTTCAACTTAAAGTAACCAACAACACAACGTTAAGCGCGGCATGACGTATTCAAGTGTGAACATTTAGCAACGACACCTACGTCTCACAAACACAAGGAATGAAAACACAAAGTGGTTTTTATGTACAACCTCAACTAGACTTTCACAATGCGCGGAGACATCAAGAAATCATTCCTGTATTAGCTGGATGAAAGCTCCGCATTACGTGCTGATTCAGATAGTCGAAACAAACGATTTTAAGAGAATAATCGAGGCAATTAAAACGGAAGTCGAAACAGAGCAAGAACTCACGCTATACTTTTAACTGTGGTGATCCACGCTTGTTTTCTATCTTGTACACCTTGTGCGGGAACCGTGGTGGATCGCGTGCCTAGTCACTGTTTGCACTGTTTCGACACGCCGCGATACTTCGCGCCTCGCTTCCGCTTTAGTGAAACGCTCCTACCATTGCGGCAATGCAGCTTTGCAGAGCAAGACTTTGTTCAGTGTGACAAGTAGTAGTAGTAGTAGTAGTATTTTTATTTACAGTAAGCCGGATACAGAGCTCACTGCAGGGGCAAAGGGCTAAAGGCGAACAGCCTGACAAAGGCCCTTGTCCCTCCGCAGTCCGTGACAGTGCAAAGCTTAGACATCAGCACTGACAAACAATATATATATTCAATACATTGGTTTCAAGCAACCTGAAATTGTAAACACAAAATTCAAACATAAATAGCATAAGAAGTTTACATAACTCATTTTGAGAATTAGAGGTCACTCTCGTTAAAATTCACAACTAAACAATATCAATGAAACAACTCAAAAACAGACACAAAATGCATGCGGATACAATGAATTCCGCTGTATACACTCGTATAATTGACATAGAAGTTTATGAACAATTTAAGTATTTGCAGAGGCATGAGACTCCATTACGTAGTTTCGATAGTGTAGACCGGTGGTTATGAATAAGTTCTTTATTTGTTTCTTGAAAGTCGCACTACTAGCCCTAAAGTTCAATTGATCTGCAAGGGTATTTAAAACCTGAGGTACCTGGTAAGCAATACTTTGTTTTCCATACTTGGTTCTTGTTCTAGGAGCTCGTTTCTTTTGTTCTCGCAGACTTTAGTGTGGTCTTTCGGTGCAACTTTCTTCATATAGCTTAGTCTTTTGTATTAACTGAAGTAATTTAAAATGATATAATTGATCAATTCTGAGTATGGAATGTTTAATGAATAGTGGAGCAGTGCGCAAGTCTTGTAGATTCCCCCTGTAATTTTCAAAGCAGCGCAATATTTTCTTTTGTATAGTTATTAACTTATGGTAATTCCCTTGTGATGTCGTTCCCCAGACTAACATCCCATAACTTACTTTAGAATGGAAGAGTGCATAGTACATACTTATTTTTAACCTCGATGGGATTAAGTGCATTGTTCTAAAAAAACAACCAACTATTCGCGCTAATGCGGTGATGTGTGTATTCCAGTTTAATTCCTCCTGAAACCATACACCAAGAAACTTTTGTTCCCTAACATGTGCGATGCAATTTCCTTCGAATTTTACAGCTATGTTACTAATAGGTTTGTTTATAGGTCGGAATATCATATAGTTCACGGGAAGGCTGCGAAGTTCCCTGCACCAACGGAAAAACGCTGCGCACGCGTGCCGCCACTGTCGGGTGTCAGTGAAACAGGCTGAATCGGCCGAGACCACTGTGGCGCTTATCCCGAATTTCCCCAGAGCGTGTCACAGAACCGCAGCGCGGTGTTGACATCGCTCCTCAAATTTGAGCTTCGGATCCTTATGGAACAAATGCGTGGTTATTGCGCGGTCTCCGCTATGGGTCTTTCAGCAGATGCAACTCTGTGGTAAAATTGCCATTGAGGTCTAGTAGTAGGTGCTTGGTGGGGGGCCTAACGGTCGTGGGAAGGAATTGCGGCCATGGCGGCTGCACTTCGATGAAGGTGAAATTCTTGAGGTCGGTGCACGTATATTTAGGTGCACGTGAAACAACACTAGATGGTGCAAAAGAATTTCTAGAGCCCTCCACTATAGCGGCGGTGGTGGTGGTGGTGGTGGTGGTGGTGGTGTTTCAGCAGGCGGGGTTAGCCTGGCCTGCATGGCCGGCAATTGTTCCGCCTTCCACTATAGCGTCTCTCATAATCATATCGTGGTTTTGGAATGTAAAAGATCAACTATTATTATTATAAGTCTCCAATCATCCTGCAATAATTTAAGCACTTCGTCACAATGAAGCAACACTGATTTACTGTTTCAAGCATTAAGGAGGTCATGTAGCAGGAAACTTCGTAATAACAGAAGGTCTGACTCACCGTGATCCAGCCATATACGCACACCCCGTTTGTACAATTCACCAAGCAGTGCCAGCAGAGTGGCAGTAAGCGCGGCCGCATTCCCGGCCATCGCTGGGAATCTGAACTGGGCGTCCTGTTATCCGCGTCCGTACTCGATCAATAACATAAGTAGGGCACGATATCTCAACCGGAATAGCCGAGGTCCGCCATACGATACGAGCTGATTGTCTTGAAGTGGGACGCAAGTCGCCAGATTGGGATGCTGTCGGGATGCGCGGTGCCTCGAATGCACTCGAATGGTGACAGCTGCTCACTATAGCGACGAAGTGGGGGACAGAAAGCGAAAGTGGTGAGGGAAAAAAACAAAAAAGCGGTGTCTTTCGCAAACAATATGGAGCACGCCTTGAGGTCTGCAACAAGATGGAACAATTTTTATATGTATACAGTACATTGATGACTGGCACTCTGAGTTACCCTGCTGTAAATTATCCGCTTTCGTCTCCCCTGCCACTACCTATATAGAGGTGGCACTGACGGACTCTTTGCCATGCCCTCAGCACACAGCAGAAGGATGGTTGGTGGTCGAGCACGCCTAATACTTATAGCGATTTCAGTTATTTTTCTCCTGGCTTTCTCTTCTTTCCTTGCAGCCGTTTTATAACAAAAGACCGCAACAGCGGCCGTTCTTAGTGCCGTAGTTTTCCACCACCCCCGCTGGTGTCCGTAACAAAAATAAGCAAAAAAACGAAATAAGCAAAATAATCAACAATGAAACGGACCTCGAACCTGGCGCTTCTCCGTGGCAGCCCGTTATTCTACTACAGAGCTATGCTGGTGCTTCAAACTCCTTCGCAAAAAGGACCCCATACGGGCTACGTGTCGGCAAGGAACCATGTTATATGTGTAACATAGCGTGACAGAAGAGCAAATTAAATAGCAACCACGCGTCCTGCAATACAAATTACGTAATGAGTTGGTCGTTGAGAGAGAGAGAGAGATTAATTGATTGATTGATTGATTGATTGATTGATTGATTGATTGATTGATTGATTGATTGATTGATTGATTGATTGATTGATTGATTGATTGATTGATTGATATGTGGGGTTTAACGTCCCAAAACCACTATGTTATTATGAGAGACGCCGTAGTGGAGGGCTCCAGAAATTTAGACCACCCGGGGTTCTTTAACGTGCACCCAAATCTGAGCACACAGGCCTACAACATTACCGCCTCCGTCGGAAATGCAGCCGCCGCAGCCGGTATTTGAACCCGCGACCTGCGGGTCAGCAGCCGAGTACCTTAGCCACTAGACCACCGCGGCGGGGCAGAGAGAGAGAGATAGATTTATTTACAGAAAGGCAGAGAGGTTGGCCTGAGCCATAGCTTGCTCTAGCCTGCTACTCTACACTGGGGACGGGGAAATGGGAAAAGAAAGAATAATGGATGGCGACGGTGAGATAGAGAGGTGAGTATGTAGTATTCTTTCTAGCTGAGACAAACTTTATAGCCGCGCATATAGTCCAGTTACTTCCAAAAAGGTTATAACTGCTCTTATGACCACAATTGCACTGTTGGTGTCTGGCCAAGGGCCCAGCACGGTCTCATCAGTTAATGACCTACTGCGATATCGTTCAGCAGAAGAAATCAGTGTTTGTCGTTCACGTCCGTATGCTTGGCAGACACAAAATAAGTGCTCAAGTGTTTCTGGCACATCACAGTATTTTAGGACCGGTGTCACTGCGACCGGTGATATGTGCGTAGCGTCTGGTGTACGCCACACCAAGACGAATGCGGTGGATCATACTTGTGAGTTGCCGTTTCAATTTAGGAGGCATGCGGAACCTCACTTCCAGGTCCCATTTGTGAAGTCGCTGGTGTCGCCGTTCCGGTTTCGTCCAGTGCTCAAGTGTGTAGCTGCGCATCACGCAGCGAATCAGGGCATTCGTGTCCACTCGTGAAAACACAATGCGTACTTCATGGCCATTGCTTAAGGCATTTTTAGCTTCAGCGTCTGCGTCTTCGTTTCCCATCACGCCGCAATGCGCGGCAATCCACTGGAAAGTGATAAGATGGCCATTTGTTGAAGCAACATGAATAACTTCAGTGATTTCTGTTGCCAAGCTGTTATACGGACCTCGCTTCATGATGCGATAATGGTTTTCAAAGCGGGTTTGGCATCACAGAAAATCGTCCAGGCACAAGGTCGCTTTGCGGAAATAAATCTTACTGCCTCCCGGATAGCGACAAGCTCTGCGGAAGTTGATGTGGTTTTATGGTCCACTTTGAATCGTCGAGTAATATCCATGTCTGGGATGACAAAGGCTGCGGCGGAGGTGTTTAGAGTGGTAGACCCATCGGTGTACACGTGCAGAGAATCACCGTACGTTGTATAAATGTGATGTAGGGTCAGTTGTCTGAGGTCAACTGAAGAAACGAGCGACTTCTTCGCAATTCCAGGTATCGTAGAACAAACAGGTGGTTTACGCAGGATCCATGAAGGCACTGCAGGGACATTTGGCGGGGAAAACCTTGATGGTATTATATTTTCATGCCGCGATATTACTCTTGAGAAACTGCACTCTGGGTGAGTGTCGGGTAGTACTGACAGTGGGTGCTGTCTGTGTCGGCTCAGCAATTGAAGGGGAACTCTAAGTGGCTCGCAGAGCATGTATACACTGATGGTACAAGCCCGAGCCTCGGCTATTGTCCCATTTGTTGAAGTACAGCGCGTTAGACCCAAAAATCTTCGTAAGCATTGAGCTTGAACCCTCTCTAGCGTCTTCACACTACTAGGTCTCATATTGGAGAGCACCGGCATGCTGTATCGAATGTATCCCACAAATAGAGCATTATACAATTGAAGTAGCGATGATTCTGATGGGCTCCATCTTGCTCCTGCCACGTGGCAAAGAACGAGAGCAAAGCTATTCAATTTAGATTTAAGTACTGCGACATGTCTCGTCCACGATAGATCTCTGTGTACGACAACCCCAAGAAACTTGTGGTGCGTTACAGCAGGTATCAATGTCCCATTAATAAATATCGGGTATTGCAACATATGCTTTCGCGTGAACGCAAGCACTGTGCATTTGTCGATTGAAAGAGTGAGCCCCTGACGTCGTAGATATCTGTATATGATCGTCCCTGCACGCTGTAGTCGAGCTCGCAATTGCGGGCGAGTAGTTCCGGATGTCCATATGCATATGTCGTCAGCGTATGCAGTGATCTTCACCGTGCTGGGAAGCTCCGCTGTTAGGCCGATCATTGTGACATTGAATAGAACCGCGCTCAGAACTCCTCCTTGGGGAGCACCACGATGAACCTTATACCGATCGGTGTCTCCATTATTTGTCGTCATGTAAATGGTGCGATTCCTTAGGTAGCTGAAAATCCAAGCATACAGTCATCCACCAATGTCGAAATCTTCCAGTGCGTCAAGAATAGCATAATGCAGCACATTATCGTAGGCGCCCTTAATGTCTAGGAAGACCGCCGCCACTAGTCTGCGTCGGCTTCTTTCCTTTTCAACGCTGGTGATCAAGTCTACCACACCATCAATGGCAGATTGGCCTCTTCTGAAGCCGTTCATAAAAGCAGGAAAGTATTTGTTGCTCTCTAGAAGCCACTCTAATCTTGACAGTACCATTCTTTCCATTACTTTCCCGGCGCAGCTGGCTAAAGTGAATGGTCTGTAGGGGGAAAGTACATAAGGACACTTCCCCGGATTAAGCATTGCAATAATGCGACTGCGTTTCCAATTAGCTGGGACTTCTCCTGACTCCCATGAGTTGTTATAATAGGATAACAGGATATCTCGCGCTTCTGTATCCAGATGCTTGAGTGCAGCATACGTGATTTCGTCAGGTTCTGGTGCCGATGAGCGCCGAAAGGCAGAAATCGAAGCGTCAAGCTCGAGCATTGTAAAACGCACATCAAGGCGTTCGTCAGACGATGGAGGCGCGATGGTAGTAAGAGTCTCATTAGTGGCAAGACAATCAGTGGTGGCCACGATGAGGCTACAGTAGTCACTGGCTATCTCAACTTCTGTCCGCCCTTGATGTAGAGCAACAGCTTGAAATGGTTGACGTTGTTGGGGAGTTGTCTGCAGACCTCGTACCACCCGCCATATTTTAAATAGAGGTTGCCTAGGGTCCAGAGATCTACAAAATTTTCTCCAACGCTGCCTGTCAATCTTGTTAAGATGCCGAAGAACATGTCGTTGAGCTAGACGACAGGCGGAAAGGTCTGAAGGGGACTACGTTCGTCTGTATCGGCGTTCTGCACGGCGACGGATTGCACGAAGGGCCTCATATTCGGAGTCAACTGCTGATCTCTGCATCGGCAGGTTTGGTTGTGCCACGCAGTGAAGAAGCAATGATGTTCTCTACCTCGGATGGATCAGTCGTGTGCTCACAGCCGGACTTGACAAATGCCTTGAACAGTGTCCAGTCGGTTTGACGGATGTAGCTTGTGGGTTTGTGCGGCGAAACCACCTGAACTGAACATAGGTTGAAAGGTTATCAGTGCCGCGAGTGTCCAAATCTGTGCACCAACATGCGGAAGACAGAAGGCTTCTGGAAACGAAACAGAGGTCGAGGCAGCTGCTGTAGGACGTGCCACAAATAAATGTAGGTTATTGTTGGTGTAGCTGTATATGTAGGTGTAGTTGCATATAAAATTGGCCAAATTCCTTCCGCGATAATTCATTGTAGTGCTACCCCAGAGAGGATGATGTGCAATAAAATCGCCAATCACAATGTGTGGACTTTGTGCTGCTTGAAGAATGGTCCCCAGGTGGAAGCAGTCTATCTGTGCGCTTGTGTATCTATCTTCCCATTACTGAGAATGTCCGCTTTTTATGTGTTATAGTCAGGTTCACGTAATCATTGCTGGTATGCGACGTGTCTGCATGTCTCAAGGACGTCAAATCACGGCGTATACAAACGAGAACTTTGCTCGTACGTTAATCACTGCGGGACCAAATCTGTATATATCTAGATATATGAAAAGCTGAAACCACATTCGGTTCACATATAACGATAACAAAATTTATATTTGAAAACCCATTGTCTGAAGTCAGACAAACGGCCACGTAGACCACGAGCATTCT